TTTATACAGGGGATGAAACGAAGAGATTTAGTATGCGACGCTATGGAGACGAGAGGATGATGGCACATATGGTAATCATATTTCAAGTGAATTTCAAGTTTATTATGTAGTTCTAGCTTTGAGAATAGAGTACTTGACCTTAACATCCTTTATCTGGTTTTGATACAGTGGTGCTATACCATTCCGTATTCCACAAGAAGTGTAAACCACAAAAAGGCTACGTCCGTGCTTGCCTTAAAAGTAATGTATGCTTTGGATTAAGACTTTCAAATGTTCATATAAATTTGCTCATTTCATTTCTGGGTGTTTCCAATTTTGAATTTATCTTTGCCAAATTTTCAGGTGGTGGATATGTTGTAACCCCTGTGAACCAAGGGAAACAGTCAATTGTAAGACACATGCTGTCCATTGATTGGGGATTCTGGAAACTTCAACTTCGTCCTTCAGCAGCAAGAGCCATAACCATTCGTATGCTTGAGAGAATTGCTGGTAACCATCATCTACTCGAAGAACTATTGTGCTTTTTCTTCCATATTCAAAATATTTCATATGAATGCAAACATCAATATTTTCATAATTTGCAGCAATAAGGGAAATGTTTAAAGCCAAACAAGGAAGTTCTTTTTCTGAAGATGTACCCAGAGAGTTGAAGAGAGAGATTGGATTGAACCTAGCTGAAAAAAATGACACCAAGTCTGAAGCCGTATTCCCAGAAGAGACCTGGAAGAAGGACAATGATACTTTGGTTGAAGATGAGATTGAGAGACTCACTTCTGGGCGTATGAGTTTAATGGATCTGAATGATGCTTCTGATGAATTTTTTGATGTTCCTGAAGCAAATGAAACAATAGATTATGATCATTATGAAAATGAATGGAACTCTTCTTCTGAATTAAGCCCAGAATTGCACCCTCAGGTACTCACCACCACTGAGATTCAACTCTTACTTTCTTGGAATCCGTTTATTATACTATTATATCTTTATTTTTAGCCACTAAATGAATAGTTCTGATGGTGATCAGATGAACAACTAGGTAGTAGTACTATATTCTGTAAATACCAAGGCAAACAGAGAAAGAACAGAAAATTTCTTCTGTAGATTTTGGCTTCTCTCTTATTTTCTGCCTGAGTCTAGGATCGCAAGCATGAGTAGCTTGTATTTTCTCTCATTTTCTGCCAAACTACCTTAGTTTTCAGATCTCCAAGGTTCGGCAGTGAGATTTTAGTGTACTAATGCTAGTTTTTATGTTATGGTGGTGAAAAGGTGCACCATGTAGTTAAGCCAGGGATATCATCAGCTGTTACCTTCGTGAAGAAATTGCATGAGCTTGCAGGTCAGCATAGATAAAGTTGTCAAAATTCTTAGAATGAACTCTTGATTCAATTGCTTGGATATTTTGATTTCGTTAATGAATAGCCAAAATTTTGTCTTTATGCTGCAGTGCAAAAGAAGGGTTATGTAGATCTTCAAGAGGTGAATAGGGAAGAAAAAGCAAGATATTTCTACGGAGCCACTCTTCAGAAAGACCATACCTCTACTGTACCTTGCAGTTGGGCTGCTGCTGATCCTTCTACATTTTTGATACGCGAAAAAAACTATTTGAAGGATCATGAAAAGGTAATTTCTATGCTCGAACTATTTCTCGAGATAAATCAATGTTGTGAAACCATTAGTGAAAACTATCGCCTCACATCTCCATTTCTATTGATTTGTGAATAAGTAAAAGGTTGCATCTTAAAGATACAAGCTATGGAATTTGTAGATGAACTACAATCTTCATGGCTTCAGAAGATTGCCAATGCATTTGATATATCAATTTGTCAATTATCTGTAATATACACGTCTAGTTTTACTAATATTGCATTTGGGTTCAAATTTATCTCGTTCTATTCCTCAACTGTAAATATTTAACATGTAGAATTTAGTTCTAGTTTACATATTTCATACATAATTAATCCAACTTCACTCATATCTTCAATTCCACATAACAAGATCTATTTTCTTTTCAACAGGTCAAGGCCAAAAGCACCTTGATGCAGATGGTTGGAGCGGACTGGATAAGGTCTGACAACCGAGAGGATGACCTTGGTGGTCGTCCAAACAGTATAGTTCAGGTTTGCTTTATCATCTATCCTGTGTCATTTTGGACGAATTAGACCTTTTCCGGAAATCTATTTGACTGAAAAAGCAGCTTTCTTGGCACTATGCAGGAATTTGCAGCAGAAGGTGGACCAGAATTCTTCTTTGTTGTTAATATCCAGGTGAGTTTGATCAAAACAAATTTATTTGATGTTATCAAGAACCAGATTTCATAACATATATGCCCGTGTATCAGGTTCCAGGGACAACCATGTATACTCTAGCAATGTATTATATGTTGGAAACTCCTTTGGAAGACAGTCCCTTGCTCCACAGCTTTGTAAATGGTGATGATGCTTATCGCAACTCAAGATTCAAGCTCATACCGTACATTTCTAAGGTTAGAAACAGTTCTGGACATGATAACTTTTTGCTCAAGTTAGGTTTTCATGCATGCATTTTACATATTGGTACACTTACAATGTCTTTTTTACTTAGGGATCATGGATAGTTAAGCAGAGTGTCGGGAAGAAAGCATGCTTGGTGGGTCAGGCACTCGAAGCACACTATTTTCATGGCAAGAATTACTTGGAGGTATATCTTGATATGTAAAATTTAGTAGAAATTTATGCATAATTGATTTAACCCTACTTATATCTTCAATTCTATGATAATATATTCGTACTCATGTCTCGTAAAAAAAGGAATTACAAAAACATTTAATTGGAATTAGACGTGAAATTTGTTTTATTTGTACTATATTCTTATGTATATTCGATAAAAATTGAAATTCAAAATCAAATTCAATCTAACTTTTTAGGTTGACATTGATGTCGGATCTTCAACCGTGGCAAGGGGAGTAGCTAATCTTGTTCTTGGATACCTAAACAATTTGGTCATGGAAATGGCATTTGTGATCCAAGTAAGAGTACTATATATCTATCTCTTTCTATATATTTAATACCGCGTAAACTAAAAAGGTAAGTAAGACATTTTCTCTTATTTTCCCTCGTTATGCAGGGTAACACTCAAGAAGAACTTCCCGAAATCCTTCTCGGAACATGTAGACTTAGTTATCTTGATGCATCGAAATCGGTTCGAAAAAAATAATGATTTTCTCGCAGAAAATTTTTGTATTTATGAGACAAACAGGTCAAGGTCCGGAGCAGAATGAAGAAACGTAAAAGGGAACGGACTTTTCTTTTTGCAACTAACCGGTGTATAGTTGATCGTTTCTTTCTTCTTTTTTTTTCCCCTTCAATTCAATCGAAAAACCAAAATTAACAGCAATATATAGTGCAATTTATTCGTTTTTTGGCGGAAAATTAACTTGTAACGTTCTCCGGTATAGTTTCTTCATTATTATCCATTGTAATTGTTGAGAATTGTATAACCTATAAGCACAGTTAAAAACATATAAAATTTTAAGTAAAGCTATAATAATATCTTAACACCAATAAATTCATATCATTTCTTTTTTCCTAATGAATTTTTCATGGGTCAAATTATTCTAACAAATTTTAATTTTTAAGTTCATTTTAATTTATTATATATTATAGAATAGTGTGTGTGTGTGTGTGTGTATATATATATATATATATGTAGATATCTTTCTTACTGTGCT